TGTTGGTAGGGCATTTGGATATTAAGCCCGATGATGAAGATGGCGATCGAGTAGTGGAGGAGAACGCGGCTGATCTTGTGGTACCTCACTGGAGGAGACCGGTGAGGAAGTGGCCTGATCCTGCAGTCGACTTCGAAGGTGAGCCCAGCATCCTAACCGATGCGGATGTGGTGATGCTGCGGGAGCAGATTCGGATTCCACCCTCGGTAAAAATTTTTGCTCCATATCCGGGGGAGAGAATAACCAGTCCTCCTCCGGGGTGTGTTGGTGTTTTTGTTGAAAGTTTGAGGTCGGGACTGAGGTTTCCCTTACCGAACTTGATCACTGAATACCTTCGGAGTTGGGGGTTACCGCTGTGCCAGATCACACCCAATAGTTGGAAGAAAATAATTGGTCTAATGGTGCTGCTACACGAGCAGGGCGATGGGCTGCCATCGTGTGAAGAAATAAGAAGCATCTTCGCCTTTAAGAAAAGTCCGAAGAGACACGTTGCGGAGTCTTCATGTTGCTTCTTTGCCGGAGCGAAGCCGCAGCATGGCTTAAAAGTCGGTGACATAATAACCGACATCCTAGAAACTCTTCATGGATTCCAGGAAGAGTGGTTGTGGATTGGAGGGGAGTGGCAGTCTGAGAGCTTCTTTCATGAACCTCGGATTGATGGGATGACGATTCCAATGTTCATTCATTCCGGAGCAAGTGAGTCTTTTTTATTTTGTGATTTGGGTACATTTCTCTGATTTTGCCTTGTTCTGTGTACTAACAGGTCGGAACTTTTGCTCTTTGTAGAAAAAGAGACTAAACAAGCGGAACCGAGATTGAGTCCAGAGTTCGGTGGAAAATTAATCACACTTGCTGGTTTGAAGAAGGAGGTCCGAGATTATCATAAGCTTGTTGTAGATTCAAAACTTGAGGCGGCTGGATTATCTCTCGGAGTTACCACTGTCAAGTTTGACCCGGGTAATGAATTTTCCATAGCTGTTGGTTTTGCCTTCATTTTTGTATATACCGAACAGTAGTGAGTAACTTTAATTGATTTTGGCTCCAGTATACTATCCGCTCCTCGGATTCCTAGGCTATAATATTGTCAAGGAGGCTAAGGAATTCAGACGTAAGTTCCCCAACAAAGATTTGCAGTCCAAGTTCGGCAAAAGTCGAGATTTGCGTTTAAACAACATCATGAGGAGGGATTTGGTGCGTGCGTTGGTGAAGAAGACAGCTGGTCAAAAGAACACTGGGAAGAAGTCGACCGAGGTGGGGTCGAGTGCGACCTCGGCCGCCATGCCTGAAAACCTGCAGTCCGTGCCAGATGCGGCAACTACCGAAGTGATGTCGGTAGTGAATGTTGCGGCAATTAACCAAGCAGACCCTGAACCGGTCGCAGCTGGGACCGAAATGATTACGGCTGAGGTTGCTCATACCGAAGTACCACCATCTTCTCCGAGGTCCCTGGAGTTGGAGCAATCGGAGAAGAGGAAGAAGAAGAAATTGGTGAAGATGGCTGACATCGGTGCATCATCCGGAGTGGATAAGAGGTCAAAGAAAAAACACGACTCCGGTCGCAAGGCTGCCGAGAAGAGTCATGACGAATCTCCCTTGTTCGAGAAGTCTTTTTTAACGATCGATGAAGAACGGGCTGCCAAAGTTAAGGTGCCCGAGGGTGTTGTGGAGGATTGGTTCACTACTTTTCTGTCAGTGAAGTCCCCGCATATGTCGTCAAGAATCGAAATGCCAGAGAATGCAAGAGACGCCGCTCGGGTTCTGTTGATGGTTTGGGACCCCAAATCCGAGGTGGGGGTCTCCTCTTTATCCAGCGTTGATAAGCTGAGCTATGCCAAGGCATGTGTTGGCAGAGCCTTGGTTAGTTTGGTGGCAGCCGAGGACGATCTGTTAGAGTAGTATACCCGGCGTTCCAATCTGATTGGACGTATTCTACTTGTAAAT